CAACTTCCAAGGGAAGTGGTGCTGGCTCCTACCCTGGGGGGCTTTAAGAAGAGGCTTGATACCTACCTGGCTGGACTCATTTGAGTCCAGTCTTTTCTCCTGCCCAGGCCAGGGGTCGGACTTGAAGATCTACAAGGTCCCTTCAACCCGACTTCTGTGATTCTATGATTCTATGACACGGAGAGGAAAGCAAGTCCCCACAGACAGGTCTGCATCCTCGTTGCACGTGGTGAAGGCCCGCTCAGAGAGGAGGGTTTTCCTCCAGCCCTCTGTGCATCCACACCCATGTGTCCGCATGTAGCTCTCCGCCCATCTCCACCCCACCTCCCACTGTCTCTTGTCGCCCCGTACAGCATGCTCCGATAGCCGTGGGTCCCAGTCCCAAAGAGGGACTGGGGGAGCCAAGCAGGACTGGCCTCTCCCTTCACTTCCGGTGGCCATCGAGATACCTCAAGAACACAGGACAGTCGCATTTAGTGCATCGTGATTTTTTTGGTTTTTTACTAAATTTAGTGCTAATTCATAATAACCACCTCTATAAAGACTACCAAAAAGTTAAATGTTTACTCACAATTCGAGGAGCGACGTTTGTGATGCTCTCGCCCTTTCTAGGCAATCGAGTTCTTTCGACCATTTTGGGTTGAAGGACATCTTTTGCTTGGGCATTTTGAATGAAGGGCGGTGTCAAACTGTTTTTGAAGACGAACGTTTAACAGCAGCAAGCAACAGGCGTAACATAAGGGCGTGATTAGGAAGCACAGCAAATAGGATCTTTGTTGGCATTCGCAGGACCAATACAAACATGGGGCTAATTAAATGACAAATATATTAACCGGTGAAGACAAGCAATCCAAAGTTGAATTGTGGGTGTCTCAAGGGAAAGATAGATGTCTCCTGCAGCTCATACACGAGGTGTAGGAGCAGGAGGGGAACTTCCCGTGGAGAGATCTGTAGCATCCTCCTAGCCCTTCTGGGCAGAGGGGTTCAGGGCAAGGGGTGCAATGGGTTTGCCCCCCAGACACTGTGTGGGGGGAGCATGGCAGCCCCCTGGGTGTGGGGTGACCTAGCCAGGGCCACACCTGTGACTTGGGGTATAAATGCCTCCGCCATCAGCTTATGTGCGCCCTGGTGGGGTTGGGATGCAGGGCAGGGCGTGGTAGTAGGTGCCGAAGCACCGCTGTGATGCAGCAGCAGTGAAAGCACAGGGGGACTTGCAGACAACGGGGGGTCAGAGCAGTGGGCTCGGGATGGTGCAACTCTCCGGCAGGGCTGCAGTGGCCTCAGCATCTACCTTCCCCACTGTGGCTCCTACGGCTGCTGCTGGGATCACGGCCTGCAGCGACCTCAAGAAAGCCCCGGCACCAGAAGTCCCAGGATCCTCCAGACTCCATGTCCCCAGGACACTGTCAGCATGGCTGGGGTGGCAGCAGGGATCCGGCTGCTGCTTGTGGGTGCTGCGGCCATGGCGGGGGCCAGTGGTGAGTGCAGGCAGGTGGGGCAGGGTGGTATGCGAGTCTGGCTCCACTGTCCAGGCCACTGCTCCCCATCCAACAGTCCCAAGAGTCACTCACCCGGCAGCTTTCCCTGGCAAGGGAGACATCAGGGCCATCTCTGAGGTTTTCCCTGCCAAGGTCAGATCTCCTGGGATGGCGTTGTGTGGTGCAGGGCGCAGACCTACAGTCTGCTGTAGCTACACACCTGTCTCCTGCGCTTGCTCCTATGGCCTTTGGCTGGAGGCAAGCGATACTCAAGGGCATCTGAACCCTGCAGCCTTCTGGCTTGGAGCTTGCACATGGGATGCCTGCCGTGGATTTGGGACTGCCAGAAAAGTCTGGGCAGGAGGAGACTTGCCGGTGGTAGCGCCACACAGACCTGAACCCTTGAGCTCTGCTCAGTCGATAGAATTTGGACCCGACTTGGCTGATTGGGCCAAGACACAAAATAAAAAAAACAAAAAAAAGTTTATCAAAATCTGTTTCAGTCCCAGACCTGAAGCTTGCAGGCTAGAAGAGCTCAGGGCAGCAGTGTCTGCAGTGCCAGGTGTGAAAACAAGAACCCACAGACTGTAAGAGGAAGCATCCCGTGCATCGGAGCCCTCCTGCAGAGCAGCAACCTGTGGCTCTTTCTGCGTACTTGGCCCCAGGAGACTTGCTCCGATGTTTCTATGGTCAGAAAATGAAGATGTGGCATTTTTAGAGGAGGGCTCAGGTCTGATGCTTTGCTTGCTCTTCTCTTCTGTGCAGAGATCAGCGCCGGGAAACCAGATCTGAGGAGGAGAACAGGGCAGCACCAGTCCAGAGCCACAGTTGGCATCATGGGGGTGACTCTGGTGAGCAATGGGTTAGTTTCTTCCTAGCCCGGTGGGGGCTAGGACAGACCCTGAACTGGTTGAACAGTCTCTCAGACTGGTATAAGACTCTCCATGCTCCCACTTGCACTGGTTTATGGAGATCTGCCAGTCCCTGGCCTTAAGGCTGCAGGCCAGGACAGCTTAGCTCTGGTCCAGTGCAGCGTGGGGGACTCTGGCTCCTGAGGGTTTCACTTGCTGCAGCTGGGCAGCGAGGAGCTGTGCCCAGGTTGGGTGGCTGGGATTCATGTCTGAACCGCAACCTCAAGGGCCTGGCTACACGAGGAAATGATCCTCGCACGCACCGAGATGGGGCGTTGTGACACGTCCGGTGCTCCCTGGAGCTGCCTGAGCCCACGGTCGCCGCAGCGGAGGAGCCGCTGGCAGCTCTGCAGGACGAGGCCTGAGTTCCCGCCGCAGGTGACTGGTGTCATTTGCTCTCCAGCTGTGTCCTGCAATCGGAGTGGGGCCGAGTCTGACACAGGTGAAGTTTGGCACCTGCCGTCGGTATTTTTAGAGTTCATCTGCACGTGCCTGGGGCTTTGGATGTGGGTGCTGCCCCGTGGGAACACAGGTCCCTGGGCTGGCTGGGCTTCCAGCTGTTTCCTGCAGCTACACAGGGAAGGGTGCATGGGGGAAGGGCACCACGTGCAGGAATACATGTGTCCTTAACGGCAGTGATATTGGTCTAAAACACCCTTGCACTTGTGGTTGGATCGGTCCAAACCCCGTGCACAGAGCAGGCTTCAGCACAGCCCTACCCGTTCCTTGAGGCCACCCCTGGGCACAGCAGCCTCATGGGCGGGCATCCAGCACCCTCCCCTCTGCCAGCATGCCCGTTTCTGCGCTAGGCTGCGGGGAGCTTCCAGGTGGCACAGGAAGAGGGCACTCGCTGCACCTCTGACGGGGAAGGCAGATGGGTTGCAAGCCAAGGACCCTCGTCTGCTCTGCCCCAGGTCCTGACCGCGCAGCAGGGCCAAGGCCTGAGTGGTGCCAGGCCCTTGACCGGGGTGCACCAGGGCCCCCCAGGAGCAGGGTGGGCCTGAGTGCCTGGGCTGCGCGGGTGCCCATTCCTGGCACGGAGGGTGCAGGGCGGCACAACTGGCCTCTGCACCATAGCGTGTAGCCCCTCCAGGCCAGGCTTGACTGGCTCTGACCCTCCTCCCCGGGCCTCTGCAGTGCGGGGCCTGGACCTGCGTCCTCGTGAGCAAAGGGGGCAGGGGGAGCTCTCTGCTTTTGCATGATAAAAACCCCAAGATCAAATACCAGAATTTACCGGTACTTAGCATTTATTTTATTACAGACATACGGCGCTGGCAGGCTTCCAAATTACTTTAAAATTGCAAATCTATCAAGACAACATTGTGTTCAACTGAGACATATATATATATATTTCATTTTAATCACGGATTTGGGGGGTTTAATCACATAACTTGCCATTTTTGATCGGAGAAAACCCGGAATCCGGCGCACCCCTGATGGGAAACGAACACTTACACTCAGTGGTTACTTCCTATACGCCCGGAAACATAATGGGCCCTTCCACAACTAGCCCCCCCCCCCCCAGCCAAATATGGTATCTTCCAGCCCGTTCCTCTCCAAGGGGCCTGCGAGTTCCCCGGTGCTGATCAATGGTCTCGTCCGCGCCCTCTCCGAACGGAATGGTTAGTCCCCGCCGCGCAAGCGCATTCACTCTCCGCCCTCCCTCGGCTTCACCGACGTGCTGCCATCTTGGAAAAGGCCTTCTTGCGCGCGGAGGTGTGGCCGGAGCTCTGCCTGATGAAAAAGGCAGGGAAGAACAGCTAAACGCTCGTTTAGGGGGTAAGCGGGACAGCCCGAACACTCGAGGAAATAGAGGGGAGCCGGCTCTGTTGGGAGGACGCCAGCCACTCCGAAACCATGGCGAGAAGGGAGGCAGGCATCTACTTGGTCAGCTCGGGGCTTCCTGTGGGGCGCGGGCAGCGCGGCAAAAAGATGGCGGCCGCTTTTCCCGGCATGCCCCGCGTAAAATTCTCATTTCCGCTCCCGAGCTGCTGGGGGTGGGGGTGAGGGAGGTGGTCACAGGCAATTACGCCAGAACTGCATCAGCAGGGTGACGTCATCAAGCGCCAGTTTTCCTGCCGGGGCAGTTATGCCCCCAATGGACCAGGGGAGCGACGTGAAGCGGGGGAGACCCCTATTTTGCGGGGGAGGGGAACCCGATTGACCTGAGCCTGGGGCTGACCTCTGATCTTTCCTAAAACAGAGTTGGGCTGGGGAAGGGGGACCCCTTCACACCTCCGCGTGAGGGGAGCCCTGTCCCGCTTCCCGTCCCCCTCGTGGCTGTTGGCTGAGGTCGCTCGTGAAGTAACGAGCGGACGGAGCTGGTCGGCCCTGATCTCCCACCGAGGGGCCACGGTGACAGACCCGGGCGCGGGCCCCTTCTCTGTGGCTGATGCGGCGGCCGTTCCTGCTGCTGTCGGAGCAAGGACGCCGGTTTCGGGGGCTGGAGGAGAGGCGATGCAACCTCCCAGGGTCCTGTCCAATCCTCGTTTCCCGCGATTTCCATCCAAGGATGATGCTGGACAGCGGAGCCAAGGGGGCAAAAAAAAACCCGTGTGGGGGAGATCCTCCCCCCCCAACCCATTTCATCCCACAATGTCTTCCCCGTGGAAATGCGAAGCCCCAATGGATCCAAGGACTCAGCGCCAGCCAAGTTTTAAATGACTTTATTTACAATAAACAGTATAATTAAACACTGAAGAAAGGCAGGAAGAGAACAGAAAGCAAGAATAAGTCAACCTGCTCGAGAAACTTGTAAATGGCCTTGCTTTGTTTATGCCTCCTTTTTTTTTAAATACAGTAAAAAATATCCTAAACAAGAGTCACACAGTTTAAAAGAAAAAAAAAAAAAGCATTTTCTTGAAGACAGAAGTGCTCTCTAAATACCTCATTGCAGAGGAGAGTGGCTAAACGCATGATGAAGCAAGTTCCCGTCTCCGGCGTCTCAGAGCAGAGGAAACCTACGGGGGAGGTGCATGTTCGGCTGGTTTCTTTTCAATTAAAAAACAATCTACTCGGCCTTCAGCTTTCTGAAGAAAGCTCTGTCCGAGTGCAATGGTTTTCTAGCCAGATCCAAACCAGAGCAGAGCTTCATTCACTAATAGATATTCAGATAATTAAAAACAACCCTGCAATGTTAGTCCCCCGCGGGTAGGAGCCTACTGGAGGGCAACGACGGAGTAGCCCAAAGCGTTACGAAGCCTGGGCTCTGCAGTGTTTTCTAAAGCAACCTCTACACTCTCGGGTGCCTGGTTCTCCACACTGGAGTGTAACCCAGGAGCTGCCCCAGTCCTGTGAGTCTGGGAAGGAGCGGGCTGGCAGGGCGCATGGCTTCATGCTTCTCCATCCCCCTGAAGCCCCAAGCTGTTCCCCCCAGGGTCATGCTAGCTGGGGGGAAGAAGCAGGGACTGGGGGATGGAGAAAGCCCTCCAACTTCCTGGTTCAAAACCATGGTCCGACATCCCTGGAGAGCCTAAACACATTCGTGGTGCACCGCGACATTAGCCACAGGTGGCTGTGGGCAGAGCTATGATTTCTACCGAATAGGCCAGGCTCCTCCCTACATCCAGGCTCAACCAGCATCACCACCTTTGCCTGTGTTGAAGCTTTGGATTTGGACATGAGCACAGGGCAGGATGGGCTCCCAGAAAGGCCCGGGGTATTCTGCTCATGCCAGGCCAGCCCGCCGCCAACCCACAGGGACCGAAGACCCACTCAGCCCTGCCCCAGCTGTCAAACAGGCTGTGAAGCCAATGGCTGGAGCACATGGGGCTGTTACTGTGACACTGTGGCTTGAATGGGTGCAGTGATCCCACACCAGCTGGACAATAAATCTGTCCAGGAGAAACTTCCTGGGCAGAAAAGCCTTTGTGTTTCGAAGCCAAGAGGCTCAGTCCCCCACGGAGAATGGGGACAGGCCAGGCTGGTTCTCTGAGAGCAGGTACTAGCTCATAAGGGTGGCATCCGGAGAGTGACAGCCAGGATGGCTGGCCTCCATGGTCACGCCTTGCTAACTCCTGACACCAGTGGCATTACCAGATTACAGAGCAGAGCCCAGCCCCAGTTTAGAGGCCTGCAGAGAGTGACCCGAGAGGACCCCTGGTGCCACAGCAAAGCTTACAGCTGCAGTTCCCCCAGCCCTGAGTGCTGTGGTGTAGACTGGATTCTGGGGCATTCATTTGCCCATCATGATACCTGCATCCTAGTCTACATTGTCATCTCCACCAACTGAACTTGCTAGGATAAGCAGAGCCTCGGAGCCCAGGTGCAGCTGCTGGCTTCCCCAGTAGGGCTGTGTTTGGAGCTGGCACGGCCCCTGGCCCCTCTGCCTGCCCTTGAGGAGGTGGAAGTGGGTGGCTGGAAAGGGTGTCACTAGCACATGGCGATGGAACTGTTTTCCAGCCAGCAGCAACTGAGGCAAGAAGGGAAGAGAGAAGGACAGCGGCCTACAAGGCTCCTGGGCCCATCTAGGAATGAGGGAAGTGTCTCTGCAGGTATTACTCCTGAGACTCTGCCTGACAGGTGGTTTGTAACTCCATAAAGAGGAACCTCTTCCCTCAGGGCTGTTGGGACCGTCTATTCTTGTGTCTGCAGTTGTCCTTCTCGGAGAAGGTTGGCACAACCACTGAGGACTCCCCAACCACTTAGCTGGTGGACAACTAGGGTCGTATGTGAGCATGAGTGCAGGTGCAAGCGTGAGGGAGAGAAGGCTTTAACACAACAGCTGCAAACAAAAGCAGCGTCAAACAGGCTAAATTGAAATCCTTCCTTCTCCTCCGGGAATCTTGTTTCCCTTGCTACAGTCCCTACCATTGCATAGTCCTAAGACTCCCTTGTCTCCCAGGGACCAACCACGTGCAAAACTAATGAGAGGTGGGGGAGAGCCATCAGCCTTCTTCCCCTTCCATTTATCACCATTAAGCAGCCAGAAAACACAGAAACCCACTGATTTCTCGGTTGCCATGAAAAGCCAGCACACAAATTCGCTACTGAATGGGCTTACAGCTGCTACACCTCAGCCCGGGATCAGTGCAGGCAGGGGCCAGCCTGGCAGGCTCTGAGGATACTTTTATAAGAGCAGAAGAGATGGTTTGAGAAACCACAGGCAAAAATGATGGAAGCAGCGGCAGCACCATTCAGGTGTGAAACTCTCAAATGGAGATCTCTGGGAAGCTGGCCTGGGCTCTTAGGCCCCGAAGCCATACAGGTGGCACCAAGGGAGGGACAGACATCAACCAGCTTTCGGTGCCCTGGAAGTCTCCATGCGAGGAAAGCAGCTCCCCTGGCTCCAGGCCTGCTCACAAGCCCCAGGAGGGGGTCAGTCAGGACCCAGTTTGTGCTGGGGGTCTGGCGAGGGCTGTGCACTGACTGCAGCTGCCGGGAAGGAGGTGATTGCCGCTGTCACAGCTGAGCACGGTGGGGGGACTTTGAGCTGGTGCGTGAGGGGCATCTGTAGATATGTGGCCTTTGGGCCACGTGGGTGCAGGCCCTCACCACGGATCTGTCCATTCACACCCTCCTGCTGCGCAGCAATCCCTGCGCTGGCAGCTTCCCCGGCTCAACGCCCTGCCCCCATGGCCCGTTCCTGTTCACCAGCAACGGCCTGGGGCTCACGTAGTTTCAGCTCCACGATGGTACACAATGCCCCCAAAGCTAAACACTGGGAGGCCTAAATTGGGAGGGAAGCCTGCCAGCTGACGGCCATGAATCCCTGCCCCCAGCACGGTAGATTGGAGCATACGATGCCTGGTGCTTTGCTGGTTGACTGGTGACTGGTTGATTGCTTCCTGCATGGAGTGGAAGAGGAGACCCTGATCCTCATATTGCTGCCTTTTGGGGCAGGAGCTGCACATGTTGCAGTTGAGGAACAAGCTGACAAATGTCTCGCTGCACTGTGTGCACCCTCCACATGTGATCTGGAGCAGCGCACTGTGTCTAGCCCAGCCCATCCTCTCTGTTCATCCATCTCGTCCAGCGACTGCCGTTCATGACTGGGTGTTGTTAGCATGCTCCTCCAGAGAGTCTGCACCATGGACCCTGAACTGATCAAACCACTCATGCCAGCCCCACTGCAGATGATGCAGGGAAGGGAAGTTGGCATCAAAGACACCACCGAGAACATCTCCCCAGGCCAGCTGGGGCAAAGTTGCACTGGAGAAACGGAGGGTTGGGGAAAGCCCTCAGTTCATCACACCTGCCTTGACTGCACCACAAAGGGGCTGGGCACAGAGCCTGCTACTGACCCGGCTGCTGTTATCGTGCCTGGGTGAAGCTGCTCCTGGCGCTGTGTGGACTCCACCCAGAACCATCAGTGCTCACAAAACCCGAGGGCTACCCTCTTCCCCCCACCCTGCCCCAGCCGGGGCTGTCTTTGGCTTGGCTAAGCAGGAGGAAGGGAACAACCCTTTTCTGAGCTCTCTGGCTTCATACCTGGGAGAACAGGGGAAGAATGGTGTGAGCATGAGTGGTCACATTGTACCCATTCTCCTCTGTTCCACGGCCTCTTCCATCCATGGGTCGCTCTACAGCACTCCCAACAAGCAGATGTTGCACTGACCCTGCTGCAGGCTCCACCATCTCTCTCAACATCACCAGCCAAGAGACCCTCGACACTGACAACTCCTCACTCCTAGGCTGCCCCGAGTGTGCTGACTGGGTAGGGAGCCACACATGGGCCATGCTCAGCCCACGGCAGGTAGTGCAGGAATACAAGGACTTAACTAATGAGTACTGGTAGGGAAACTGAGGCAGGAAGTCAGGCTCCATGTTGGGAAAAGTAGCCTCTACTGGAAGGCACCGCCATTCCCGGTACCCAGTGAAGCTTGAGGCAGAGCCAGAATTGCCACAGGGGAGCTCAGGAATCACAACAGCCAGGCTCAGAGGCCGCTGGAAACACGGGGCCTGGGTGACTTTGGGCTTATGGAGTTTAAGGTGAGAAGGGGCCATCCAGCCCGACTCAGCCTGGTTTGAATCTGGCCTGGGCTTGATGACATCAAGAGGCAGAGATGCAGCTGCTTCCTATGGGCATCCCCCAGCCCTTGCCTGCCAGCTCGAAGAGCCTTGTCTCCCTGCAGAGGTGCTTGTAGATCCCAGGCCACCGGGGCAGCACTGGGAACTGGGTCTCCTAACCCCTAGGTTCCCCACCAGGCAGCAGTCGGCAACAGGGTCTGGTCAAGAAAAAGAAAGCAAATTTTGGGACCTCAGCCCCCAGGTTTCCCCGCTGAGGTAAGTGGGGCCTGAGGAACTCGTCCCAAGGCCCGGAGGGGAAGGGCTCCAGATGCAGAGGGGACAATGCAAGTGCCTTGCATTAGGTCACACCACATTTCCACTCTCCCAGGAGGCTCTGGACTTGGTCCCTGCTCTGAAGCTGTGGCCTGAGTTAAAATGCATTGCATTGAGGGAGCTTCACTGGTCTCCTGCCTCGGCCCCTTCAGTCTTCACACCGAGATCAGAGCACGCCCCGGCTGCACTGGGAGCTTCTGGCAGGAGACAGCTGGGTCTTTTGCATGGTTTAAGAGTCACCTGAGTACCTCCTGCTGCTGCAGGACTGGAGGATCCACATGAAGGGCCCTGATGGAGGGAGATGGCCGGGAGGTCCACACGGTGCAAAGGCTGCGTCCAAGTCTTCTGCACAGCCACGTGCTGTTATAGGACATCCAGAGCAGGGTGAGTGAGGAGGGAGGTGACTCCAGGAGCCAACAGGGACAGCAACTGCAGGACCCCCACGAAATGCTGCCTGACTCTGGCCCTTTGCCTGGATACAGAGGACAGCTCCCAGGCACCTGGGCAATGTCGGCTTTGTCCTGTCTTGTGTCCCTTGGGTGCTCCGTGCTCTGAATCCTGCCACCGCACAGGCAGAGGAAAGGGTTTTCTGTCCACTGAAGGCTACACTCATTCCAGCAGGGTGGTTGTGTTTGGCAATGTGCCCTATGGTCCAAGCACAGGGCCGGGGCAGGGTGGCGATGTCAGCACCTTCGGGCCTGGCCCAACACCCTTGGCTGTTTTGCTGGCTCCCTTCTGACAGCTGTTTTGGCCAGGCTGCTCCTAGGACAAGGCACGTCCTTGTAGTGGGGTGAGTCTGGCAGCCACCTCAAGGGCATGGAGGGTTGCTAGAGCTTTGGTGCAATGCGGCCATTTCTACTGGGGGTTTTGGTAACCAGAGAAGACCCTTGAACATCTCTTCTGTGCTCCTCACGTGTAGCTGGTTGGAGCTGATCCTTTGGGTAGAGCAAAGGGGAAAAGAGGGTCGGTTCATCTCCGCGCAGCCTGGGCACTGCTGTTGGGCTGAAGTGGGGGTGCTTGGGAATAAGCGTAGAGTGGGAAAGCTTCTGGGTGGGCTGGGACCAGAGAGATCTGGCTATCGAGCCAGCACCGAAGAGGTCTGGGACAGCTACCACCAGAGCTGGCTGACGGACGTCTCCATCGTCTGAATTAACCCCAAAGCCCAGGTCCTGAGTGCACGGTGTCACGAGAAGCTCCCTCAGCACTTTCTTGCAAGAACAGACTGTTAATCCTGGAGTCTGGCCAAATCTTAGTGCCAATAATTGCATTCCTACCCAGAAACCATCTAGTGATTTATCCCTGCACACCTGTTTTGCTCCGGCACTGTTGCAAAGGGGCACTGAGAACTACTCTCTCTATGCTGTGTTATACCCCAGAGGCAGCTGCATTTGGGCAGCAAACAAGGCAACAGTATTCACACACACATGCTTTGGATGGTTTTAAAGCTGCATTTCTCTCCTCCACTTGTACCCAAGCTCAATGCCCAGCTGTGAGAGCAACAGCTGCATTGCAGGGGGTGGGCTGGGAGGAAGGGGCAGCTGGAGCCCAGGTCACACGGCTTCTCCGTGCAGCCCAGGGGCTCTCCCACAAGGAGCTGGCCCAACTACCTTGGGGCTGTGGCTCAGAGCTCTGAAGACCGGCCCCCCAGGGCTTTGTTTCTTGCATCTGCAGCTACAGCTCTTCTGCCTCCGGAGGAAAAAGGCCAGAGGGAGAAGAGCCACCTGCCGCCCACAGCAAACAGCCTGCCAGGGCCACGTCTCAGTGCGGTGGGGGGCAGGGAGCACAGCCCTGGGGCACTGGGATGTCACTCTGTGTCTTCCCAGCCGGGGCTGGTGGTGGCTTTGCTTGAAGTCCAGCTGAGGGTAGGGCCAGATCTGACCTGGGCCTTGGCAGCGTTTATTCTCTTGTCTAGCCCAGCTGTGGCTCCGGGGCCGTCTCCCTCTGCCCTCCCACAGGGAGTCCAGGAGGGAGACCCAACACCCGGAGAGACCAGAGCTGCCTGGCACCCAGCCCCATGCCTCCTCCTCTACCGTAGCTCCTTCCTCGGGGAGGGATCTGCTGCAGGGGGCAGGACCGGGGGTGACTGGGGCCAAGGGGGCAGCAGACGGGGCCAAAAATGGCTCTGTGGCTGCTGACGGCTCTGCAGGAAGGGAACCCCCCTCTTGTTTCTATTGCTGGCAGCGAGCAAATCCCCTGTGGGCACATAAGTCAAACCACCACAAAGGCACTCCCCGATTTCCTGGAAGTGGTGTCCCTCTGGGGCAGACCGAACCCGCCCTCGATGTCCTTTCCATAGGGGCCGAGCGCTCCCGCGCTCCCACGGACGCTGCAAGGCAACCGCAGGCTCTCGGCGCCTCTGAACACCAAGCCCAGGGCTCTCTGCAGCCTCGAACCTGCCCCCGCCAAGCCCAGGGCAGCCCCCAGGCCCGCGGGCCCCCTGAGAAGCGCAAGGCAGGCGTCAGCGCAGAACACAACAGAACGGCAGCCGGCAACGGGGTTTCTTTGTTGGTTTTTAACTTGCATATTCAAATCGACAAAGCTACAGGGTTTCCACACACCAGCGCGATTGTAGAAAGAGAAAGAAGGGGAGGGGGGGAAAAGCCCTGCCCCCCGGTAAGTCAGGAACACCGTGAGATTAGGAGCAATCCTCAAATAAAAGAGAGAAGGAAAGTAAAACCAAATTTATACAAGAGACCCAAGCTATTTACAGTGAGAGGCTGGAGGGGGAAAAAAAAGCAGCTATCTCCCAGCAGGTAACTGAATTCTTCCTCTTATTATTATTTTATCATCCTCGTTATTTTAAATAGTTTATGCTACCTCAGCGGTTAAACACAACCCAAGCAGAAAGAACCGACTGCTTAATTTTATTTAATATTTAATCAGAAAATTTGTATCTACAATAATTGACAGGCCCCACCCCCCCATCCTTCCCCCTAAAAATTATTGCAGTTTTTCCCAAACTGTTCTTTTTTTTTTCTCTCTTTTTTCCCTTTGCCTTTTTTATTCTCGTTTTATTTTTTTTTCCCCTCTCTCGTTGTAATGTACACATTTGGGGCCCCTCTTGTCCGAGAGGCCTTAAACCAGCATAAAACATGGAAAAAAAGGTGGGTCAAAATACTCTGTTTTTTATCTTGAAAACTGACAAACTCACGATTTTGCTAGAAAAAGCTGATTGTACGCACGAGCGGGCTGGGGCAGAGGGGAGAGAAGGTCGGTTGGTTGTTTTAAGTGCGAATAAGAACGGCCGTTTCTGACAGTCCGACGTCGAGTCCTCCACGCATCCCCCCGCGCCCGGGGTCCCGAGGCACGAATCAGTGACAGATCCAGCTGAAACTGACAGAATCCTCCTCCTTCCGACGCAGTCTCGTCCGACGCAGTCTTCTCCCCGTCCCTCCCCCGCGGCCCCGAGAAACCTTCGTCCAGATTAAGAAGCCAGCAACTGATTACAAAAATAAGAATCATCTGTAATTTTGGCTCAAGAAACCGACTGTCCTGCCTCGTCGCTTTGCCAACGTCCGACGCCTTTTACAAAAAGAAAAGAAAAAAACAAGGGGGGGGAAAAAAAAAAAAAAAACAGGGAAAGGGAAAAAACCCCTCAAACGAAACAAAATGACACCGACAAAAAAAAACAAAACAAAAAAAACACCTCTTTGCTCCAAACACTACGAGCTGAAGAATGGCTGCAGGTTGAGATATCAAAAATCTCAGAAAAATATATAATATATATATTTATATATCTCTGTACGTCTTATTATTTAAATTTCACATTCCTTTAAAAGCGGGTTATTCAGTCAGTAGCTGCTGAAGGAGGCTCTTCTGTTGGGCCTGCGTGGTCTGAGGACCCGATGCGTTTTTCTGGGAGCCCACGGGACCAGGCTGATTCAGGTAAGGGTCTCCGCCTACCAGATTCACTGTACACTGCACATCCGCGAACACCTGAACCTGCTGTACCTGCTGGGACACAAAAGACAAGAGAGATTTTTAGACGGAAAAAGGCAGGGGTCCCTCGGCTGACGGAGCGGGTACTACGTGAAGTGGAAACTCACTAGAGAATTCCTCTAGTCTGTAGTCACCACAGAGAAGAACTCTTCTGTCTTCTTGTCCTATAAAAAGAAAACCGCTGCACTCATTCGGGTCAGAGCTCCGACAGGTTCACACGTTTTTTCATTTAAAAAAATAAAAATAACGATATAAAAAAAAATTGGCATGCCCAAGTCTCCAGCTGCCGGGCAGCTGGAGCTTCGTGCGGAGAGCGACCTGGCACTAAGGGGAGCGCAGTTTCTGAGACCAGAAACTGGTTTTCTTCCCATTTTGCTACGGGCGGAACCCTTTGGACAGCTGCCCGATGGACCGGGGGGATGTGCCGAGGTGGGACGCGCCTGCCACGCCACTGATGCTATCCCGCTTGCTGCACGGGACCGTCAGCAGGGTCCGAGAGGAGCGCTGCGTGGCACGTCGGAGCGGTAGGAAGTCACGTCTCTGTTCTCTCCAGTGAAAACAGGGCAAGTTGGGGACGGTCCTGCGTTTCCCTACTGTCCTCACAAACCAAACCAGGCATCGTGGCACCAATCCAGGCAGCAATCCACCCAATCATGCCAGAGCACTGGTTCTCCAACCCTGTTAGACATAGCACCCCCACCCCCCCGTTAGCTTCAAGGCCCCCCTCAGAAAACACCAGCTCTGAACTTCCACTCGGCTTTTGACTCCAGAAAAATCCTAGAGCCATTTTTCTGCTGCAAAGAACTGAGCCAGCCCCGCTGCAGATCCCTGCTGGAAATCTCTGGGTGTACTGTATCAGTCACATGTAAGGGTGCACACCTGACAGTGCTTATATTGCACAGCTCCCTGCAGCACTCTCAAAAGGATCTTATGGCACCCTAGGGTGCTGTGGCACCCTGGTTGAGAAGCCACCAAAAAAGGGGGGGGAGGGGGAGCATGGGAAAAAGAGAACGGACTGGTTAATTCTCTCTGTGCAAAGTGAGTGAAATCCAAGAGGGAAACCTAATGGTGCGAGTGGGAAGAGCAGCACGGGTGGTGACTTCTCACAGGGGTTACTAAGGCAGCAGGAAGCACTGAGTTTTACTTTGTTTTAGCTCAGCTTTGGAAGAGACGGTCACCAGGCCGGAGGTAAGAAGCTATTCACCCGTTCCCTTTAAGGCTGGAAAAAACGGATACAGATCCAGGACATTTTGCAAAAGCAGCGCCCCCCAGCTGCCCCCGGCTAAATCCCTTGGTCTGAGCACATACTCGCTGACAAGGCTAATTTAACACACCGGCCTCTTTAGCACCCGAGCAGGGGATGTCGTGAGATCCCCAGTGCAGGGGCAAACCTTGCACAGAAGCAGAACGTGTCAGCTCTGCACGAACTGGCAGGACACTGGCAGCCTCCGGGCACGTGCTGGATCCGGGTCCTTTCCTCCCACCCCCAGGGTACAGCAACAGCACTGACGACCACCCAGCCTGGCAGTGCTGCAAGGTGGGAGGGCAAAGGAGGATGCTGAGTGCTCCCTGAGATAGAGGACCTGTGAGCTGTGCCAGGCGCTGAGGGCACCCACTGTCCTGCCACCTCCGAAGAAATTAATCCCCCTTTTGCTGTCCCAGGGGACCAGTAAGACCCAAGGAGGACTCAGGCGACCTCTGACTTGGGCATTCAGTCATGTTCTCAGCTCAGCCCCCTTCGCCACCTTGGATTCGCAGTGGGCTAAATCCAGGGCAGCGTTTAGGTGAGGTTCCTAAGGCAGTGATGGCCAATGCCAGCCCCAGCTCTTGGCCAGGTGGAGAAGAGGCAGGAGCCCTGAAGTGAATGGCTTGACAGGTCCTTGGCCACTACGGGGACCTTTGCCTGTGGCCAAACTGGCAGACTGGATCAGTCTGGGAGGGTTCACCACTCCAGAGGGACCTCCCCAGACCCGTCCCATGCCTCCTGTTTGTACCTCGGATGGTTCTGTGCTTAGGAGTGGCTTACTGACCTGCGCCCCGTCTGCTTCTGTTTTCAAAAGGTCAGTGGAGGAAAGCTGGTTGCAGTAAAGGCCCGTGGGTCTCAGCGCCGGGTCATTTACCTGCTGAGGGCAAGAGGAAGACTCAGTCATTGTTCAGTTCAGGAGAGCAAAGCAAACCTCCCTCCCAACATGGCTCCCTGCGCTCCCACCTGTCCTGCTTCAGTGCTGGGGAGGGCATCACAGTGCTGGCACAAGGGTGTGGAGGTTACAGGCTGGCCCTGCTCTGGTAAGGCAGATGGGTGGGCCCGTCATCCCATGCTTGAGCTACACCTGTGCACTACAGCGTCCCCTCACCGCCTGGGCAGGTCGACCTCAGAGTACCTGAGGCATGGGGCAGATGGTCAAGTCCACCGGACTGGGACGAACAAGGTAAGCAGGGACCCTTGGGCCAAGACAAGACATGCTCTCCTAGGGTTGCAGCCCTGGTCCGGAGCAGCTTGAGCTACAATCACCCCCAGGTAGAGGTGGAGGGACCCCAGGGGTCACTGCCCCCAAGCCTGGCCTCCCCAGCCCCAGCCGCTTCTCTCCAGGCAGCGGGACCTGCCACCAAACTGGCTGGTGAATGCCCCACCCCATCTTGGCTTCACTTCCAGGCTGCTGCGTCACGCTGCGCCAGGGACTAATCCTCTCCTGGCTGGGATGCCGTGACCTGGACGAGGCCGGCAACCCGGGGCCTGGGCCAGTGCATCCTTGGAGAACAGCCAGTGCCCGACGGGCACCATGAGGAGCGGGCTGGGTGCCCTGAGTGCTTATCACGCCAACGCGGACAGCTGTCAGGAGGCTTCCTGGCCTGGCCGGGAGGCCCTGCTGTGGGAACTGGGCTCTAGGAAGCGTCAGCGTAGACGGACACATGCTCACACATGAAACTCGTTAAAGGGGACGCAGCCAAGAGCAACATGGCCCAGCTCACTGCACACTGGCACTGCCCCATCGGCCCAAACAACCAGCGCCCCTGCAAGGCCGGAGCAACCTCTGGGCTGGCCTGGGACACCAAGGGCTGAGCTTGCGCTTTTGGATTTCACAAGCGGCCAAAGGCAGCTTCCCACCACAGAGCAGGGCCGTGGGCAGGAGGGGGACTGGCTGCCGGGAGCAGGGGACATGGAACCAGCTTCCCTCATTTACACGGCAGTGCTGTCACAACAGTTGCTGGCGGTACGGGGATGGTGCCTGGGTCCCTCCAGACTGTGCCTGGCTGTGCAGTGAGGCAGCTAGTCCTCTGAGAGCATCCCTGATGCCCTTACAGACACTGCAGGGACAGGCTCCCAGGGATGTCTCTGACATGAAGCACCAGTGCACACCGCGCTGGCAGGAAGCCCCGGCATGGAGGGTGCGTGTGTGCGCACATGTACCACGCATCGTGGCCTCTCTGCATTTACCATCATGCCAGCCTCGAGCAGCAACCTGGAGAACAAAGTTCTGCTTCAGAGCTGCAGGCAAAAGGCAGGGGGTACATTCAGCACCGGTGTCACCTTGCATTGCCACCCGCCCTTTGCTGGGAGTGGTGCAAGGAAGCAGTGGGAACGAGTGAGATCCAGAAACTGGGAGGAGGATCAGGTTTCAGGACACCCAGCTGGATGCTGCACCAAGGAGCAACCGGCAATGAGCAGTGGGGATCCTGCTTCAGGGAGAAACCCTTGCAGCCCTGACCACCTACGAGGACAGAGAGCCTGATACCGCCCCCCTTCCCTGGAGGCATCACTGGGCTCAGGAGCTGGCTGGGATTCCCGGAAGCGCTTTTCCCAGCTGGAGATGGAGGCACTTCCTGGGACTGTCTGAGTGCGATGCAACCTGCCTGGTGTTCCCCTGGCATAGGATGGAGCCCCTGGTGCACACTTGTGGGAGGGACGGGCAGCCAGGCATGCTCTGCACAACTACTGCTCTCCTGCAAGTCTGATCCCTCGTCTACACGTCTGTCCCAGCTACCCCAGTCTGGCCAACCAGGCTCTCCCCTGGAGGAGCTCATCAGAGTCAGCACCACAGAGAGGCCTTGACCTGATGCCTTCCAGCCCTTGAACAGCGTTACCCCCGAGGCCAGCTGAGCACCCACCTAGCTGTGCTGCCAGAGGCAGTGAATTCTCCCCATGCCTAAAGGAAGCTCATGGAGGAGGGAGATATTTCAGGGCTGTGCAGAAGCAGGAGATAAATCACGAGGCAGGGCGTTCTGGCCCCTCACACCCCAGCCGGAGAGCAGCCGAGCTATAGGAGAAGACACAGGCGGCTTCCAGCCCTTGCAGCCAGCATCTGGCTTGTTGAGGACCCCAGAGCACCAAGGAAAACTGTACACTCCACAGCCGCTCGCTTCTTGGCCCGGGGAGCCAGGCACCTCCCAGCACAAGGCCCAGAAGCTCGGCGTGGGGCAGGCAGAGCCAATGACTGAGATGAGCAAGGTCATGGAGACCTGCTAGAAACATCCACGCCACGTGGGTTAGCAGCATCACGGCGTCCTTGCCAGGCTGCTGCGGGCACTGACCTGCTCGGAGCACATGGAGTTCATCCCGGGCATCTGCAGCGAGTTCATCTGCATCTGTCCGGCCATGGGGTTCATGTTCTGGACGTTGGTGTTCCCTCCTGCCATGGACACAGTGATGCTCACGTTGTTGTACATCCCCTGCTGGGCGGGCGCCGGCTGGTTCTGCCCTGCTTGGCTGAAAACGCTGCGAGGAGAACGAAGCACAGGGTGAGACCGGGCGAGCGCGGCCCTGAGATACCGCCCCCCCAGCAGAACTCTCTAGCAGGGGGCAATTGCCACTCCCCCAGCTGCTACAATGGGTCCCTGCTCCCTGAGACAGAGCAGCAGTGCCAGCTTTTGGCTGATCTCTGCCCCTTTGAGTCTCACAAGCAGAAGCGCCAGATGGACGTGTCGAGGCCTCGGGGAGTTGTCCTTTGCCTCCCCTGTGCGTTGTTACCCAACAGGGAATGGAAGGTCCCATGGACACCCCACGTGTCTGGGTGCTGGAAAGAGGCCAGGGGACCACGCACGAGCAGGGGGCAGCCCCGTGGCCGGTCCTAAGCCAGAAAACCTGCCTGTGTCACCTGTGCTTTGAACGGAGACCGTCTGCCCTTCCTGAGCAGAGGGCTCCCTGGCTGGGATGTGAAACGCGGCGGGGCGGTCTAAGAGGCAGCCCCACTCTTGCGAGGGAAGCAGAGAAAAGACGGTCCGACTGGATGCCCTGCTTTGGCCAAAAGTCCACAGACCTTGGTGCTGGGCAGCACAACAGCAAAGAGCCTCGGAGACAAAATAAAAGCTCGAAGCATCGTCATCCACCATGGCAGCAGCTTAGAGATTGTTATATCCCCTGAGAGACTCTGGTCCAGCCTCAAGACCAGCACGTGTGGCCCAAGCGACTGGAGGTGGTCAGGCGTCCACCATGAGGTTCTTCTGACGATCCTGCTAGCGTCCCAGGCCCTTCTTTCTTTCCAAGGAAGTACTTGTCGACTGCGGTCAGGCTGCCTCTCACCTGTTTCTTCAACCAGCTGAAGAGACTGAGCTCCGGCTGCTCTCCAACTCCTCGGCTGGTCCCCCAGGTCCTGACCCGTTCCCGTGTCTCCTCCGACCCTCCTCCACTGTTTCCACATCCTTTGTCGAGTAACGACACCTGAACCAGGCGCAGCGCAACAGCGGCGGTCTTCCTGCTGCCACAGGCCCAGACTATGTCTAGGGCTCAGGGAGCTCTTTTCAGTGACCGCTTTATTCCCTGAAATACGCCCATTGGTGTCAGCTAAAGCTACTTGTGAACTCAGGTCGAAGTCGGATCAAACTGAGGTCGGACTAGATGATCTGCTCAGGTCCCTTCTGACCCTAGAAACTATGAAACTATGAAATTCAGCAGATTCAGCCAAAAACACTGAGAAACAATTGTGGGAAAGGCCAAATGCTCTGTTTTGACCATTTTAAAGCCAAACACCCTGCCCTGTTGGAAACGGTGTTTTCTTTCTAAATTTACAGTTTCCCTTTAGAGACTTGGGCAATCGCCTGACGACAAAGCGAGCATTGTGCTGTGGCTCTGACAAAGCGCTTGTTCAATCCACAGCAGGTTGGCTTTTGCTTTCCATTTTGCGGGTGGGGGGGAATGAATAATTTCTGTTCTGTGGTGACCCAGACTGCAACATCACAAGCCAAAACAGGGGTGGCCTGGGTCATAATCCCCCTCTCCTCTCTGCCTGGGTGTATCTGGTCTGAGCTTTAATTCTGGTGAACTCTGGAGTGGGAGAGGGGCATGCAACAGACCCAAGGGGAATGAAAAGGCTCATCCTGTTACAGCCGTCCAGGCCCTCGAAGAACAGACACCCTGGGAAATGGGTCTCCCCAGGCAGGCTGGGCACCCAGGACAGGGAACCTGCCTTCAGGAGCCAGGGCTCAGGTGCTGGGGAGCCTGTTCCTGAGCCGCTCTGCTCATCCCAGCCATGAGGGAAGGGACACGAAGCGACTTGTTGCTGGTGCAATCTTCCCTGGCTGATGCAGCCGCCCTCCGGCATGCAGCACTGCAACCCATTACCCCAAAAACTTGTCTGAGCCACTGCTTTCAGCGGCAAGGAGCCCAGGGGCTGGGTCACGCCACGGCCGAGAATGGCATTGAATGGGCAGCTGTTCGGGGGCGAGTCCTTCAAGACACAAAGCCCTCTCTACTCTCTGCAGGTGGCATCCAGCCCATTGGCTTTGCCCTTCTCATCTACTAACCAAATGAAAGCTGCATAGAAACCAGCTATAAAGTTGTTGCACATTTTCAGGCACTGACTATGTAGCTGGTCGGCTCTTTTGATAGCTGGACGGCCATTTTTATGGTGCGATAATTACTTTGCACATGTGGCTGGTTTAAATTTATTGCGAGACTGACCAGTGAATTGCGTGATATATGTAATGTCAGGCAGGGGCCAAAGTCTCAGGGCGATCCCTACCTGGGAGACAGAAAAAGGAGGAGATACATGAAGGCTGTGGAGGGAGATCTTCTCCCCTTGCCCTGGCCACTTCCCAGCTTTTATGACACGGGCCCATTGCTCTTTTCTATCAGGGTGCAGGTGTCAGTCGGCCCTGGCTGTCTGTGCTTCCTCTGGCCCTTGCTGTCTGCAGGGTGGAGCCTGTGCTACTCTAGCATCAGGACTGGGACCAGGCAAACAGGCTGGGCACTGCTCTGGGGCAGGCTGGAGGATCTGAACCATGGCAGGAAAATAGGACAGAGAAAGGGAAGCCCCAGGTTTGCACATGGGTGTGCAACACAGCCGTGTGCCTCCTCTGGGCTCTAACATAGTGTCTTCTCATCCGCGCAAACCGAGATAAACGGCCTGTGGCATAGTCGTTTCCTGGGGGTCTGACCACGCAGACAAAGGTCCTTCCTCTTGGGGCCAGGGCAGCAACTGGCCAGCATACAGGTGAGCGGAGCCGAGGGCCGTGCAACGTGGCTCAGCACAGGGAGAGCTGAGCTGGTGCGTATCCTGGCTGTTCCTGTCCATGCCGCGACCACCAGCCCCTGAACAGCTAGCATGAGCCACGCCACCGAGAACCAAAGGTCCTGCTCAAAGATCTGATCCTCTCCCCGGCTAACAACTCTGATGCCACACCGTGCCCGTTCTCAGTGCTTGGTGACAACACTAGGCTGGATGAAAAAAATATGCAGCACTCTTAGCCAGCAGTGGATTTAATGAAACCCAAGAAATGTGGAGATCTGCTCAATGAGAAACAGAGCGTGCCTTCCTTGAAGGAACCCTAGGAATGAGAAACATGGCCTGCAACCAAGACACGGCAGAACAGCCGAGCGGGGAAGAGCTTGGACAGTGCCAGAGATCAAAATAACTCTCCTGGAAACGGGGACAAATGCTTTACAAGCCAGAATCCAGCCCACAGCAAGTAGGGCAATGTGTGGGACTTCTGCTTCGGGTGTCTGTGCCATCAGGCATATGTCCAGCATGATGAGAGCAGGGTACAAACAGTGCTAGCAAGGAAAGGCCTTATCAAATGAGTCCTGGTCAGAGTATCACAGAAAATTAGGGTTGCAGGGACCGCAGGAGGTCGCATCTAGTCCAACCCCCTGCTCCAAGTGAGACCAGCCCCAACTACATCATCCCAGCCAGGGCTTTGTCTACCCGGGTCTTCAAAACCTGCAACAGGACAGTTTAGCTCAGAAACGAAGCAAGGCCCTGGTCTGTGTGACACGACATCGTGCACAGTCACATCTTTAGGCCTATTTGTCTTCTTCTCTGGATAGCTCGATCCCTCCCTGTGCACGTTCCAGAGACTGGGACAGCCTCCCCATGCAGAGTGGGCTGAACGATACTGTGCTGAATAAAGCAGGTATCTTTTCGCACCTTCAGCTGAATGACTTCGTACCAGGGCACCTAAAGGACAGCCTGTAGGTGACAAAGGGGCAGAGCCCACTCATGCACCAGTAGGCTTTCATACCCCAATATCTGGAAGGAGCAGGATTCTGGTGATTTCTTATGATACACAGTTTTGCCCCAGATTGATTTAAGTAAAGCAGCAGAGACGGCCGCAGGGCCTGATGGAGGAACATGGCCTGAGCTGTGCAGGTCGCCCAGGACAGAGAGGAAGGCAGCAGGGTCCAGTTTGGGGTTGGCTGGTAAAGCTACTGCTCTCCTGAGGCTTCAGTAAGGCACTGATGTTAATTAAAGCACAAGCCCTGCTTCACGTGCTGTCAGACACACATGTCCACTTAGCAAGGCCAATTTAGCACCACCTACTCATGCAGCTTCTGCCGCCAGAGCCCATGCCAAGTACCTGGAGGATGCCCAGGGTCTGCTCTCTTTCCCCTCCTGCTCCATGCTCCCCCGTCCCAGCCCACCCTGGTCCTCTCAGAAGGGGAGAGCTACCAGTCTTGTAAGGCGAAGGTTATTTTTTACCAGGGAAATGGAGCTCCTGCCTGGTGGGACGTCTAGGAAGCAACACAGCACGTTACCAACAGGATCTGCAGTTATGGGCCGAGAGGGCACCCTCCCTCCAGCGTGCGTCCGACATCTTGCTACCTACTTCCAGCTAGAGGAGGACCACTGTGGCTCAGGTGGCAAACGCACGCGGCTTTGAACCCTAGTCCCAGGTGTGACCCCACCAATGGGGCAGGGTGTCCATATCCATACCTACTGGCTCCCCCTGCCTCCTGACTGGCTGGGCTGAGAGGCGCAGATCCCAGCCGGAGGGGAAGGCGCTGCAGTGTTATCCCTCTCCCTGCCCCTGCATCACTGCCCCTCAGTGCCACTTACTTGTTATTCCCCATTGTTCCTTGCTGCCAGGTCTTCATGTCCGGGGACTGGTACCCGGGGGTCGGCGGGGCCGCCTGCAGCATGGGGCTCTGGGAAGGAGGGATCTGCGGCGACATCAGCGGGCTGCTGGGGCTGAGCGCGGGGGCAAAGCCGGGCTCGTTCTGCTGGCCCATGCCTGTGGAGCAAAACAGACAGCTTCGCTGTAGGCCACTGCACCACAAATCCCCCAGCGGGAGCCACGGGGATGGGGGTCCATGTCTGCTATTCCGTGCCTCTCAGACCCCCCAGGCACTGCCAACATGCCAGGCTGCCCCGAGCAGGTGCCATTTGAACAGGGTGCGTTTGTACCCCACTGGCATCCCCACTTGACCAGCTATGGCCACGGTCAGACACCTCCTTGGAGCAGCCGCGGGGGTCTGGCCGTGCTCTAGTGCCTGCAGCTAAGGAAAGCTATAGCAAAGCATCGGTCTGCACGTCTGTTCTCTGGCAGGATGGGGTTATTTCCCCGTACGGCATCACCTTCTGGAGCAATCTGCCTGTACAAAGGGTCCCTCTGGAAGACAGGAGCCACGTGGAGATCTCACCTGAGCAGCCCAAAGGAAATGTGAGGGCGGGGGGCAGAGCGCTGGGCTGGCTTGATACTGCTGGGACCCCTCAGCTTGGGTCCCTGCTCCATGCCTCAGTTTCCCCATGCGTGGCAATGACCCCCACACCCACCTTCCTGAGGCTCTTGGAGACTAGCACAGGAGAAGCCCTATACAAATGTTTGCCTGAGTCTCTCCCTAGTGCTTCACCCGGTGCCCTTGCAAGCCATTAGGAGCAGCTTTTGCACCATCTACCCAGTGCCCCGCACCTCCTTGGCTTTTAGGGTGCTGCCCGTGCTCAGGTCTGTGGACGTACCCGATCCCGAATACTGGAAGAGGTTCTGCTGTATCTGTGGGGTCATCCCAGCGCCGAACTGCCCCCCGACGCTGCCCATCATGCTCCGGTTCACCATGTTGTTGCGATTGGCCAGCGCCACCTCAGGGTTTGACGCCAGCTGTGAGAAGGGGCTGGTGGAGGTGGGTGGGTTCCCAGGGCTCGTACCGTAGTTCGGGGGGTAGGGGAACTGCTGTGGGGGTGCTTGGGGGAGGCGGGCAGCCCCAATCTGCACCGGGAGGCCGGCCGAGGGCGGGAGGTTGTTCCCAAAGCTCTGCTGTCTCATCAGGAGGGCGCGTTGCTGCATGAGCTGCCTCTGCCGGTGCTGCTGGCTGTACAGCTCTCGCTGGCGCTGGGCCAGCATCTGGGCATTCAGAGGTGGCTGCAATAGGAAGGAGGATGTTACAGCTGGGAGAACTCTGCCCTGGGTCCAAGCCAGGGGTATCCATCATTGCTTGGCAAGGGAAACGCTAAACCCCCCAGGAGCCATTGGGGACACTCCATTGCTCCGCCAAACTGGAGCTGTCAGAGGCTGGGCAGACAGGAAGCATCACGGCTCTGCCTCCATGCACGAGTCCCGAACGAGAATACCTCAAAGACCCCCTGAGAGACGGGATGGAAAAGACATGTTCCCACCACAGCTACAGGCAGGAGACCTTGGCCTGGGGCTCCCGGCGGCTGCTGGCAGAAACTCCAGGCTCATTGCTCCATGTAGCTCTGAGCGAGGGAAAGGCCTGTCCCAAAGTGCCCGTCTGCTGCAGGCTCCGGCTCTTTTCCGCTCCCGCCAGCCCCCTGGCTCATCCTCATGGTCCCACGCGGTTGGTGCTGGATCATCCCCACAAGCACTTCCCCACCCTGGGCCTTGTGCACAGCTCAGCCTGCCTCCACCCACTTCTTCCCTCCGTGCCGGCTTGGCCCCTCTGTCTTGCCCTCCATCCTGAGGGGCATTTTAAAGCCCCATGGGAGGTGTGAGAGGTGGGGATGGTGGAGGCGGTGCTCTCTCAGGCTGTGCCCATGCAGTAGGTCTGCTCAGAGAAGCCTTGCTGGCAGCAAGCTTTGGAGCTGGCCAAGAGAGGCCAGTGTCTGCTCGCTGGGTCTGACAAATGCAGACTGCTCCATCACCAGGGTTTTTACCTTATGTCCTGCCCTCCCTGTGCCGTGGACTTCATGTTGCCCATTTTTCAGCTCCGCAGGGCAGGAGCCGGCTTGACTTGCCTGTATCATGCCAGCTACGCACTGCCCACCTGACCGGCACCAACGCGCCTGAGCAGACCCAGGTCATCCGCTCCATCTGTTCTCCAGGGCGAGTGCTAGGCCATGCTGCTGAGCTCAATGCTGCACAGGTCTGGGTACCCAGGGACCTGCTCTTAACACCCAACCTCTGCCACTGACCTGCTGTGTGGGCCTGGTCAAATCGCCTCCCCTTTCTATGCCCTGCTCCTGTTCTTTTTACCTTGGAAGCTCTCTGGAGCAGGAGCGCTGTGTCCTCGCCCAGACAGCTGCCATCACTGCCAGAAGGCGCAGGAGTGTCTACGCCCCATGTCTGCCCACCGCTGGGTGGTGGCAGAGGCCTCACTCATGCAGCAGCGTGGAGGGAGCTGCTACCACAGAGGGGTAGCGACCCCCAAAGTTTTGGTGGCAGCCCTAGGAGCTGTGTTGGTTGAAGTGCACCATAGACTAAACCTGGCTCTGTGTCCGCACAGCTCCTGGCCTGCTGGGACACCCATGCCTAGGTTGCAAAACAGGCGACTTTAACAGACCACTCGCTCATTCACATCAAACTCTGTTTCTTCGGGCGCGTGCCAAGGCGCTTTTTGTCAGCAAAGGCCAATTTTGGAATCTCAGACCCAACTTTCTGACTGTAGATCAGACACGATATAGCCCAAGACTCTTTCTTTCAGTAACAGATTTTGTTTCCCAAATATCCAAACCCAGATTTGCCCCAAGTTAATCACCTTAGAAAATGTCAGCCCATGCTGTGAAAGTCTGATTCATGCACTGGCAGCTAAAATCAGAGGCTTCCAATGGAAACTGTCTGCACCTTTCAACCTCTACCCAAGCGCTGAGCAGGTATTTTATCACTCTTTATTGGAAGCAAAATGGAACTTGTGGACCTGGGGCTTACAAGGATCATTAAAAAAAGGATTCACTATAAATTACACTCTGAAAAGAACTTCGCTCGTTAATTCAGGGCCCCTCTTCAACGAAGCCCAGCACAATTCATCTCTAAGTAACCAGAATGTCTATCCCCTCCAGGTGGAGATACTCTTCCTAGGCTGAAAAAACAGCTAGCTACGTGGAAGAGTGATCTAGGCACATATCCTCCCCCCGATTCATGTGGGTAGCACTTCTTTCTGCCATCAGCCCTGGGAATGGCCAGAGCTCACGGCTGCTCTCAGGTCAGTGGTGTTGGCTCCTACAGTGATATTTGTTCCCTCTCGACAGATGCATTACCTGTGGCGTGATCTGCTGCTGCATGCCTGCCCTCATGTTGATGCCGACCGGGGAACTGGCTGCAAACTGGTTCAGGATGGCCTGCCGGTTCTGGTGTATCAACTGCAGAGGAGGAGAAATCAGAGACGCCTTACCACTCAGTGCTGGCTCTCTCTGGTGCTGCTGCACGTATTTGGTCCCTCCACAAGCCATCGACTCCCAGTAACAATTCTCCTTCTACCTTTGCTACATCCCCAAGGAAGCTGACTACTTGCTGAAAGGGATGCCTAGTGCTCGTGCTGCTCTTAATAGCTCAGGCACTTACTGGGAATGGGTGGAAGGGCTTTGGCAATATGTAGGCAGGGGAGGGTGCACAGCCTGCTCACAGCTGTAGGGGCTTAGCACTCTGGGAACAGAGTTGAGGAAGGTTTCAACAGCTGGAGGGGCTGCGAGACCCGCGGACATTGAAAGTGCCCAGAGGCGACTCCTGGGCAGTGGAACCGATGAGCACGGGACAGGGTGATGAGCTCTGCTACCAGCCTGGGGGGTCCCTAAGCTGCACACGGGATTTCCCCCAGCCCGATCTAATGGGATTCCCCATAAAACCAGAGCAAACATTCATTCACCTGTTGCTGCCCCTGCAGTCGCTGCTGCAGCTGGAGTCTCAGTTGGTTGGGAGCTGTCGGGGGCCTGTTGAGGGTTTGCCGTGGCTGCATGCCCATGTTGGTGGGGAAAGCCCCTCGGGGCGGAGGTACCTGGACGGGCATCGGCCCAAAGGAAGGTTTCTGCCGGACCATGCCCTGGAAGGGGCCGGGGAGGTTGGCGGTGGGAGCGGAGGAGTAAGGCTGGGGATACATGCCGGGCTTTTGATCCATGAGGAGAGGCGGTGTCACTTGCTGGGGCTGGAATCTCTCCGTCAGTGCTTCCAGCCCCCCTCCCTGTCGAGAAAAGGGGAGAGGAGTCAGCAGCGAAGCCCCCGCCTGCGTTTCAGATGCACGGGGTTGGCTCTGGCTCTCAAGAGCACCAGCCCCAGGTCAAAGCCACTGCCACCCGTGTCCCTGGCTCCTCAGGCCCTGGCCCGTGTGGCCTGCTCTTACTTCCACAACCGCTGATTAACCCGAGTGCTGCCCTTGGTGCAGAACCCGGAGACGCCGGGCCCCGTCCCGGACCGCTCGAGCCTCGTCGCAGGGACCAGTCCAGGAAGCACCTGCCGGGAGGACGGCTCACCTCTTGCTCCTTGGAGACCCAGGACTTAATAAAAACCAAAACCCTTTGAAGAAGGGCAAGGACTTTTTGCCTGGATGTGAACTACGGCCAGAAGTTGAGAAGGGTTTGGCTCGTGCAGAAGGGGCCCGATTCTCCAGCCCACCCAGCTTCCACTGCTGGCAGGAGATCACCGGGGCTGAGAGGGAGACAGACGAGTGTCCGTTGTTCTCTGGAGACACCCGGGTTGGATGCGCTGCCCCAGTCACCTCAAGCGTCTCCTCCGTCACCCCTCCTACAACTTGCAAGCAGGGGTGGCCAGAGGGGGTTGCAACAGGGCTCCCCTGTTCCCCGGCAAACCCCAGCTACCACAATGGTCTGAAGAGCTACCAGTGGCTGGAGCAATACCTGTCAGGCCATCATACTGGGTGACCAAACTGGTCTGCAGTGATTTCAGGCTGGAAGAAGTGCCGTACTTTCCTCCTCTGAGCTGTGGTGGGCTCTCCGCAGGATAGGTTTGGGACCAAAAGTATGGCAAACAGTACTACTTGGGTGGGGGTTATAGGTGTGAATGGTGATGTGAACCATCCACACAATCCGGCTTTAGCTTTAGGACAGCTGAAGGAAAAGATAATATCCTGTGGCAGAGAGTTCCCCAGGTTAACTAACACTAAAAAAACCTTTCCCTCAGAGGCAGCGGCAAAATCCAGAGCGTAGACGAGCTCAGTGTAGACACTCAGGAGGGGCAAGAGCTAATGAAACAAAAGGATAGAAATGGGATGAAGCAGCTGGAACAAGCTCGGGCTGGAAACTGGAGATGAGAGCAGATAAGTCCTGCACCGACCTCCCAAGAGGAGATGAGCTACCTGAATCCTGCCCCCATAAACACTTATTTCCAGTAAGTATTTCACAGCATGACAAGCTGCAGAAAAGCATCCTCCGGAGCCAGGGGAAAAGCCCAAGACTAACATTAATGACTCTTGGACAGGAGAGACACTGGGCTTCGATTCCAAGCATGAAGCTCCTGCCTGAAGGGACCGGGAGGAGGATGACTGACATCCTCACCTGGGGCAGGCCCTGCGCTCTGGTGCATCCAAATCCGACGTCTCGGACAGAAGATCGAGAGGCTCGCGCCCTCGCCCAAGGACGCGGAGCGAGTGGCGGTTGTTCAGTACCCAAGCTGAATGAGTCAGGGGGGCCCTGGCGGAAAGTGGTCCACAGCGCCCGGTTCAGCAGAGGGGTCAGTGACAGAAAGGGCCACGGAGGCTGCGAACCGCCTAAATGCCCCAAAGCAGCTAGCAATTTGGGATGCCTCAAAAGGACAACAGCATTCACAAGGCAAGAGCTTTACACCCTCGGGAAGTCCAGCCTCCCAGGAGGTGTCTCAGATGGGTCACCCCACATCACTCATCGCCTACGCGGGCTTGTTTCACAATTGAGGCTCAAGCCTCTTAATGGGCCAGTAAAGAGGGATGTGAGCCGCCCTGTCGGGTTGCCCCAGGAGCTCCATTTTGCATGCCTCAGGGACACTGCATCCCTTGCCATCGGGATCCTGGACCTGCCCGCAGATCGGAAGGAGCTCACCCCATTTTAGCCCTCTTTTGAGAGTGCTTCAGGGAAGGATTACAGTTCAAGCCTGTGGGGACTGGAAAAATAAACAGCTGCAAGACCGTCCCAAGCAAACTACTTCACTCCTTCTCTGTCTCTGCTCCTTCTATCTTTCCTCCAAATCAGACATTTGTCATGCCGGGCTCTTCCTCACTATTTGTGACAGCCTGACATGTTCTTGCAGGCCCTGATCCTGCCTTTGGGCACACAGGGGTGGATCCCTGCTTTCAGGTGGGAGCCCGTGGGGGCTGACATCAAACCGCTCGGTCCACGCTGGTCTCAGGGCAGGATCGGGGCCACTTCACTCTCTCAATAAAAAGCCAGTGCCAGAATCAAATCACTGGCCTGTAGTTGAAAACAGAGATGGGAGGACTGCTGTGACGGGAGCCAGTCTTGGCAGGAAAGGTAGCTGCTGGCCCTGCAATCTGTAGCATAACCGAGACTCATGAATCTGCGCTCGCGAGGTGCCAGCTGGAGCTCCCCTCAGCGCTCTTGTCCCAAAGCAAGGTGAGGCAGCACGAGAGCCTGCCAGCGTTTCCCCGCTCACTGCAACGCTAGCAGCCAAGGACGCAGGAGCTCAGGTGCCTCTGAATGGCCAATGCTTCCCAGGGGAGATCACGTTTTCAAAGCAGGGAGCTTGCTATCTCTATCATGGGCTTCCAACCTGCTGGCAGCACCCCTGGAGAGCACCATGGTATTAAGCAATCTCTGAACCTCAGGAGGTCTTTTCCTGACAGCCACATCTGGCCCACAAGCACCAGATGTTGGAAACCCGCCTTGGAACCCACTTCCAGGCCTCAGCCTCCAGCCAGGGACACAATCCCCCACCAGGCCCCAGCGGAGCTACCTGGACCAGCTTGTCAATCCCCAGTGCTCGATCCAGCTCCGCCAGCTCCGTCTCGTCCTTGCCGCTCAGGAAGGACACAAGCTGCTCGAGGAGGGCTTTCTCGTCGTTTCGACCCTCGGGCGTCGTGGGAGGGCACAGCAGCTCGTCTAGCTGGGAAGTGATGCACTGGCTGCAGGGACGACAAGGCAAGCGAAGATGTTAGAGGGCACGGATCTGCTCTGCATTTCCCACAGGGGAACAGCATTACTTTTGCTTTTGCACTGCACTTTCTGAACACCGGACACCTATTTGCTCCGTGGCGTAGCGTACAAACCCAACGCTGCGTCTGCAAGGCACCGGGAGTAAAATCTGCCTACGCCCATGCCCTACTGCACAGCCTAGGGACCAGTCAAGCCCAATTCAAGACCACTACGACATGGAGCAAGGGCAGAGCTTCAGGGAGGTTTCGCTAGGTTTTGCTTTTGCAAACACCTCCCCCGTTTGCTGGGAAAAGCAATGGGAAACAAAAAAGGCGGAGAGGCTTGGGGAAGGTTGGAACAGCTGGAATGGAAGCAGCTGAAAGCAAAGGGAACCCTTTAGCCGCAGAAATCAAAACCCCGAGGAGCTCTCTCAACAGGCTTTGGGATTAAGATTAATATGTAATGAGAGACGTTCCAGTGACGTGACTAATTGGAGTCAACGGGATTTGCTGCGATGGAGCGAGCCACGGCACATCACGCTTACAGAAAAGCACAAAGGGGAGAAGCTGAATGTGCCAGCAGTTCCCAAGAAGCAGACATGTTTATCCTGTTAGCTCCAGATGAAGACCAGATGTAGGCTAAGCAACTGCAGCCAATCTGACCGGGAGCACCACGGCCAACGCACACAGTTGAATCCAGGGAAAAGCAAGGCTTCGGGCTCTCTGCGATTTCAGGGTAGGAACAAGGGAGGGCGAGATGGGAAGTGGGGCTTGTTCCAGTCTGTGCTGCTTGTGCCTCTGTTATCACCAAGCTAAAATGCTAGTCCCTAGGCTCTGTCCACGCCAATGCTCTGTTGTCCCTGCTCAGCCTGCCCAAGTCACCAGGAGAAAGAGGGTGAGTCCATGTTAAACCGTGGGCTTGGACAGAAATCATGTCTGCCCTTGACCCTGCTGATGTCAGTGGAAGTCACACAGAGATCAAGGTGACAGGAGAGCCAGGAGGCAGGACGTAAGCCAGGGGTGGCCAACCTGCATGGGCAGTCCTTGTGTGTGGCATGCGACAGACTGGGAAGGGGAGCGGCAGACTGGGTGGGGAGCAGAAAGCAGAGCAGCAGATCAGGCAGGGAACATGGATCATCAGATCGGCACTCAGAGGGGGCACGGGGCTCGTTTGTGGCATGCCTGCCAAGAAGGACGACCCCCACTGAACTAAATGGCTGTTTACTCCTGACTCCCATGCTTCCTTCTCTGCATCAATATCTAGATCCCACCCACCACGGGCTTCCTTCCCACCCACACCCTGGGCCATGTGCGCAAGGGATCCGCTGATGCTGAGGCTCTGACACCAGATTGCCACGGCAAGCTTCCAGTCAGATCAGCAAGGAGCAGAGGAGCTCACTCCTTTGACCCTGATCTCATCGGTCACGCGTGGGTCACGTGTGGAACATGCTCTCTGAGGCCATGAGGGCCAGGTGCTTGCTTAGAAATGAACACCGCGATTCTGCACAATCTGGGTAACCAGTAGCGGCGTATCGGGCAAGCCAGGCCCAGCCTGCGGGTAGTGCACTTGGCATCCATGCGTTACAGCTTACCTGTATTAGGGTTGCATCTACTGACCTCAGCTGAGTGCACTGTAACACGCTCTGGATAAAAGCAGTGAGGGATAGGTTCTGCCCTGAACAGCTCACAGTGTAAAGACAGTGGAGAGAGACTGGCCTTGACAGACAGGGAGGAAGCACAGAGATGGCCAGACCCACCCACGGGCACACAGTGAGTCTGGGCCAGAGCCGGGATCTGAACCCAGAGCCCTGAATCCCCCCATTTCCCCTCCCAGACTGATTTTCAAGCCTGCTGCAAAGTGTCTCCATATCGGTGAGCTATCCCACAGGTCGCAGGTTGGCTTTCTGAAGCATGGTGGAGTTTGGCCATGCAGAAAGCCAAGCCCCAGGCTTTGGGGCCTCCACATGCCTCTGAAAACACAGAGGCCCTGCACATGGTCCTTGCAGGCCACTGCTCCACTCTAGGAAAATGGCCCAGGATGAGCCTGGCAAAGACAAAACAGCCAGGCAGGAGCAGAAACCTGTCCGCCTTCCAGCACCTGCCCCAGAGGAAGAGAAGAACTCAGGAAGTCTTCTGCAACAGGCGGGCCAGAGAGGCTGCAAAATGCAAGACTCATAAAACTGCGGGCCCCCATGTGCACCTGGAGGAGAACCTCAATTATCCTCTAATTAACACATCATGCAGCAGGGAAAACTCAGCTAATACCACACATAACCAATAAAAAACCTTTGCACACAATAGCGAATCTGGTCTCTAATGGGACCCATCACTGTGGAAGCTGGAGCATAAGGCAGATTTAAAAGCAGGTCAGACTGGGCTGGTTCGGACCTGGATGGTCCTGTCTTGAGCTGGGGGATGGATAAGAGGAATGCTTGAGGGCCCTGCCAGCCCCGCTGGGCTATGTTTCTATAAAGCTACGGCCAGCCAGCCTCAATCAGATCCTATGGTGAGCAGTTTGCTGTCACCCCGCTTGTCTACAGTTATGCTGAGACAGCATGTACAGAAATGACAGCAGCTGTGTCTCCATGCTCCCAGACTGCAGTCTACGTTTAAGGAGTTAATAACTAGCTTTATTCTGTGAATGGCCTTTGTTCCTGGGAAAGGCCTCAAATGAGGTTTGTCCCATCCTATTATGTCCACAAGTTGCTTTAATGTTCTGCAGTTAATCATCTGCTCCCTTTGGGAGCCCAGCAGTGCATTCAGGTGACTTCTCACCTCCCGGCTGCTACTTCTGGTGCCTCCACCATGGATGAAGCACAACAGCAGGGATTTGCATGGCTACCTGGCTACGCTGCTCAGAGACTCTGCCCCAGCAAAAAAGCACCAGCCTCCTCTCAAATCAGGGTGAGGATGCGTTTCAGCAGGCAAAACCCCTGCAGACTTATAATAAACACCAGTCGGGGCCGGGCTTTACATGAAAGGACTAAGCAAGCTGTTCTTGGATGCCGAGATGACCCCCTTTTCTTTCATGCTATATTAATACGGGTCTTTTCTGTCCCGCATTTCCCAGTGTTTTCAGGCCACTTCTCTTATCTGGATGGTTTTCATGCCGTAAGTAAAGGATGAAGGCAGGATGAAGCCTTCTGCACAGGCATGATTTTCCCCCATAAGGGAGTGCAGTTCCTAGTGACATGTGCCCAACTCTGCGCCCCAGTGGCTCCAGGTAAAAGAAGAAGACACGGCCAGGACCATCGCATCATGGCTAACATTTACCCAGCTCCGTTAGCGCTCCTGAGGGATCTGGAGTACAAGCACCGGCTCCAAGGCAAGGATTGCCACAGCAACCTTTACCCAGAGACCAACAACAAGCTGTAACCCCGCTTGAAATACTTCATCAAGAGCCTGTTTATTTTAAGATGTCTAAAGCCTCAAGTGGTGTTGTAGAGCTCAGCAGGGAGATGAATCAGGAATTGGAGGGATTCGAGAACACCCAGCGGAGATCAGCCTTGTAGCAAAGGCCCGGGTGCCTGCCGAGGCACGGACGTAGAGCGCTGAGCCTCGTGGCACTGCCTGCAAAAGCAGACTCCGACCCCGCTATTGCACTTGCAGAAGGGCTGATCTTACACACATCCAGAGGACATGTATCCCCTGTCAGAGCCCACGTGCTGGATGCGGGTCTTGAGTCTGGGTAAATAGGCTGGGCTTGGCAAGTGGGGTCCCCTCAGTGCCCAGTTCTCCAACCCTCACCACCGCCTGGGCAGCCCAGGTGTGCAGCAGTAAGAGAACTAGTGGCCTGGCTGGATGTGGAGGTGCTGCTTAATGTGAGACAGTTACAGCATAGGACCCTATAGAGAGTTACAGCATAGGACCCTATAGGGAGTCCTAGCAAATGTGGAAGGAGCTGTGGGAATGGTGACCAATGCCACTCACCCCATGACTATCATGTGCTCCCCTGTCAGCTCGTCCCATTTGCTTGTAGTCTCCCACTACAAACAGAGAAAGAGTCTGTATGCTCTTTCCATCAGAGCATGCTTTTGCTCTCTGTTTTTGCAAGGTGCCATTCCTAGATCCCACCACTGCCCAGTCAGACAGCGAACACTGCTACTGACTACACAAGTGCCCAGGTTATGCCGCAGAGATGTTACCGTTGACGTGGGTCCCATCGACAGTAAAAAAAAGTGACTGAACACACTCTCCCCGCACATTAGTGACTGAAGCCTGGTTAAACCACAATTACGAACGGGAGCTAAAACACTGGGCTGAGGATCAGCTTTCCTCCAGGCCCAGTGAATACACTGATGCCAACCTGCCTAAGCAACACTGAGCAAAACACGCTGCATTGAAGGCAGGGGCTTCTTCTTCAGCACTGAGCATGGGCGTATTGCCTGCTGGTGACTCCAGCGCAAGCCAGCACCACTTACAAGACCAAAGGCAGGTTGCTGCCAAGACCCAGACTGAGAGTCGGGCTGGATCTTTCTGGCTCACCCCTTCCCCATAGTTACAAAGATGCGGGTATCAAAGGCTGCCCTCTCCCACGTAAACTAGCCCCGCCACTGCGACTGCATGAATCACTCTAAGGCATGAGCCAGAAGAGACTCCAGTTCCCGTTTCTGGCACCCATGTTGGCTGTGTAAAAAAAGGATGAAAACAAGTCTGCCGACCCAACGCACGGAGAGCAGCAGGGCTGCCAAGGCCAGCACAGCCATCTTTGCCTTGTTAAAGCAGGTAAGAGAGCACTTGTGGCTTAGGACTGCCAAGACTCAAAATCTGATTTTCAAAATTAGTCTGCCTGTCGCCAAACGTGCCCTGTGCACACAAGCAACGCAACGCGGAGACTGGAAGACAACGACTTCCCTGGAAGACTGAGTCAGGCTGGTTTCCAGCCCTTCTCTTCAGCTCCATGGAGGGATCTTAACCCTTTAGCTCTTCCAGACAGCAAGAGGACCTTCCCGTTTTCTGAGCTGAAGTCCAAGACAAAGCTGCAGAACTAGCAACCTGCTAGGGTAGACTGATCTGGGGCTGACTTACGGATGTTAGCAATGGAGGTGCATCCGGATCCTGTAAGAAGCCCTGCAGTCCAGACCTGGCCCAAGGGGCCAAATGAATGTGACAGCCCTGCATTCAGTGAATTGGAGCCTTTACACATAACATGGTGTCCAGGGTGTGGAATAGACTCCCCCCAGAAGTGGTACAATCATCTACTCCGGATATCTTCAAAAAACGCCTGGACGCTCACCTTGCTGGGGTCATCTGACCCTAGTAGCCTTTCCTGCCCATGCGCAGGGGGGCTGGACCCGATGATCTTGTGAGGTCCCTTCCAGCCCCTAACATCTATGAATAACCCCTTCATGTTCTTGATATGGATATTTCTGCTCCATCCACCAGGGGGGATGCCTTGTTGGACTTGGTGTTGGCCACGGGAGATGACCTGGTGAGGGGGCTGCGGGTGCTTGACCCCCTGGGCGACAGTGACCACTGCCTGCTAGAATTCACCATTCAGCGTAAGGTAGCGAAGGCAAGCAGTCAGGTGGTGGCCCTAGATTTTAGGAGGGC